GTAACATTCCCTATTCTGATCTGTCAGTGTGTATCAGGGATCCTTAGGACAGGTGTCAATCCATATCTGCCAAGTGACCCTATGTTGGGGTAACATTCCCTATTCTGATCTGTGTCAGTGTGTATCAGGGGCTCTGAGGACAGGTGTCAATCCATATCTGCCAAGTGACCCTATGTAAAAAAGGCCTGATGAGATGAGCTGCCTTGGGCTAAAAATGGTCCACACGCTGCTGTATTTTTAGCTCTGAATGCCGGTTGACTTGCGTGACTTATCCGCCACCAACTAGGGTTCAAGCCGCCAGTGTGTACTTTATAAATGGCTTTATAAAGCAGTGTGTACTTTATAAATGGCTCCACCTGCCACCCGTACAACAACACAGTCTCCAGTTAGGAGGACCAACCAAGCATCTTCTTCCATCTGCCTGTTACAGAAATTACTGCCGTGTACACGACCACTGATAGGAGACGCGGAAGGTATTAAACACACCACTCCTATCTGGTGTCACATTAGCTTGACCGCGCAGTGCCCCAAATTTGCAGTAAGAGGACCGACCAAGCCTCTTCTTCCATCTCCCTGTTACAAAAATCAATGCCGTGTACACGTCCACTGATAGAGGACGCGGAAGGTATTAAACCCCAGTAAAAATAATTGCTAAACACACCACTCCTATCTGGTGTGTCATTCCAAGCTTGACGTAGCAGTGCACCAAATTTGCAGTAAGAGGACCGACCAAGCCTCTTCTTCCATCTCCCTGTTACAAAATCAATGCCGTGTACCGTCCACTGATAGGAGGCAGTATTAAACTGATAAAAATAGTACTAAACACACCACTACTATCTGGTGTCACATTAGCTTGACCGCGCAGTGCCCCAAATTTGCAGTAAGAGGACCGACCAAGACTCTTCTTCCATCTCCCTGTTACAAAAATCAATGCCGTGTACACGACCACTGATAGGAGACGCGGAAGGTATTAAACTGATCAGAACAATACTAAACACACCACTCCTATCTGGTGGCACATTAGCTTGACCGCGAAGTGCCCCAAATTTGAATTAAGACGACCGACCAAGCATCTTCTTCCATCTCCACATTTAAAAAATCAATTACGTGTACGTCCACTGATAGGAGGCAGCGGAAGGTATTAAACTGATAAAAATAGTACTAAACACTCTATCTGGTGTCACATTAAGCTTGACCTTGGTACCCCAAATTTGCAGTAAGAGGACCACGACCAAGCCTCTTCTTCCATCTCCCTGTTACAAAATCAATGCGTGTACGTCCACTGATAGGAGGCGGAAGGTATTAAACTGATAAAAATAGTACTAAACACACCACCCTCCTATCTGGTGTCAGTAACCGACACGGCGCGGGGCACCAAATTTAATGTGATCTGTGAGTAAGGTAAACGGTTGTCCATACAAGTAGGTTGCAGCTTTTTGAGGGCCCACACCACCGCCATGCACTCCTTTTCAATGGCAGTGAATATACTTCGCTGTGCAAAAGTTTACGGCTTAGATAAAATCAATGCCGTGTACACGTCCACTGATAGGAGACGCTGAAGGTATTAAACTGATCAGAACAATACTAAACACACCACTCCTTTTTTTTGGTGAGGCTTTACAGGACAGAGTGCTTCTCCACGGGACATGTTAACTCACGGGCAGCTGGCTCATCAAGGAACCACAGCAGCTTTCCATGTACAGGTAAGACACGCGCAGCCGGTAAGGGTTCAGGCTCTTCTTCCTGGAGGATACGCTGCAAGCCTGTTGAACGAGGTGACCTTGCTCGGGTCCCAGGTGTACGGTTCCTAAAATGGCTGCCATATACACGCCCACTGATAGGAGACGCGGAAGGTATTAAACTGATCAGAACAATACTAAACACACACTAATAAGGTTTCTCTCCTGTATGGCTCCTCAAATGATGCTTAAGATTAGAAGCGGCTGAAAAGCATTTCTCACAATCTCAACAAAAATATATTTTTTTAACATTCTCTCCACTTTGAACGAAATGACGTTTGGGAAGAGATTAACATAATTAAACACAGGCAGTAAAAATACAGTTTTTAGCCATACCCTGTAACTTTAAAACTACACATCCCATCTTCATAATTACATATTTGGAATCAGCACACTTAAAACATAAACATAACCAAAAATCAGCCAAATCCATCCAGGGGTTAAAAAGTTAGCTGGAGGTCCCTTTATGACCGACCGCAAGCACATTTTCCTGCCCAAAACAGTTCCATAGATTTGGGCTGTGAGGTCGGTCTATTTCAGGCTGAAAAACGGCCTTAAAGGGGCAGTGTCCCAATCTTCCTGATGTCCCAAAAAAGGTGTTTAAAGGGCCAGCACCAGTCACATAAAGAGTCCATAAGCCCCAATATGCCCACCGACAGTCTTAAAGGGCCATACACACCAAATAAAAGTGCATACATTTTCACAATCTCCCAGGGGCCATAGTCATGCGGGAGGAGGCTGGCAAATAGGCTTCTCCACAACCCAGGGAAGCAGGGCAATTTGCCATTTAAAGGGCCCGTTACAAATAGCAGTTTGTAACAAGGTGTCAATCCATATCTGCCAAGTGACCCGATGTAGGGGGAACAGTCCCTATTCTGCTCTGTGTCAGTGTGTATCAGGGATCCTTAGGACAGGTGTCAATCCATATCTGCCAAGTGACCCTATGTAGGGGACCAGTCTCTATTCTGCTCTGTGTCCGTGTGCATCAGGGCTCTGAGGACAGGTGTCAATCCATATGTCAAGGTGTCAATATGTCATATGTCAGGTGTCAATCCATATTCATTGTGATTTAGGAATGTTAGGTGATTTCTGCCCTTTATGGATTAAAACCAGACTCTGTATCAACTGTGTAATTTTCCATGGGAGTTTTGCCATGGATCCCCCTCCGGCATGCCACAGTCCAGGTGTTAGTCCCCTTGAAACAACTTTTCCATCCCTATTGTGGCCAGAAAGAGTCCCTGTGTGTTTTAAAATTCGCCTCCCCATTGAAGTCAATGGCGTTTCGGGCGGTTCGCCGGTTCGCGAACACTTGCGGAAGTTCGTGTTCGCCATTCGCGAACCGAAAATTTCGGGTTCGCGACATCACTAGTCCATATACATAATTACATAAATAATTGTATAAATATACACGTAGACGTCAAATATATAAATATGTATATATATTAAAATTCTACGTGCGTATTTATGTAATATTTTTACCTAATTAAGTAACTGTAATGATTGCAATTTGAGGGACCTGCCTGCCAACCCAGGCTGAATGTCCAGAGAATTTAATTTGCTAGCACTGTGTTTAACCCTGTAACTTTCTATGACATCCTAAAACCTGTACATGGGGGGTACTGTTTTACTCGGGAGACTTCGCTGAACACAAATATTAGTGTTTCAAAACTGTAAAACATATCACAGCGATGATATTGTCAGTGAAAGTGAAGTTTTTTGCATTTTTCTCACACAAACGACACTTTCACTGATGATATTATTGCTGTGAAACATTTTACTGTTCTGATACACTAATATTTGTGTTCAGCAAAGTCTCCTGAGTATAATAGTACCCCACATGTAGAGGTTTTATAGTGTTTGTGAAAGTTACAGGGTCAAATATAAAGCTTGATATTTCTTTTTTTTATTTCTTTTTTTATTGAAATTTGTCAGATTGGTTAGGTTGCCTTTGAGAGCGCATGGTAGCCCAGGAATGAGAATTAGCCCCATGATGGCATACCATTAGCAAAAGAAGAAAACCCAAGGTATTGCAAATGGGGTATGTTAAGCCTTTTTTAGTAGCCACAAACACTGGCCAAAGTTAGCGTTTTTTTGCATTTTTAACACACAAACAAATATAAATGCTAACTTTGGCCAGTGTTTGTGACTAGGTGGCTACTAAAAAAGACTGGACATACAGTTGCAAAAAAAAAGTACGTGAACCCTTTGGAATGATATGGATTTCTGCACAAATTGGTCATAAAATGTGATCTGATCATCATCTAAATCACAACAATAGACAATCACAGTCTGCTTAAACTAATAACACACAAATAATGAAATGTTGCCATGTTTTTATTGAACACACCATGTAAACATTCACAGTGCAGGTGGAAAAAGTATGTGAACCCTTGGATTTAATAACTGGTTGAACGTCCTTTGGCAGCAATAACTTCAACCAAATGTTTCCTGTAGTTGTTTCCTGTAATTCTTGACCATTCCTCTTTACAGAACTGTTTAAGTTCAGCAATATTCTTGGGGTGTCTGGTGTGAATCGCTTTCTTGAGGTCATGCCACAGCATCTCAATCGGGTTGAGGTCAGGACTCTGACTGGGCCACTTCAGAAGGTGTATTTTCTTCTGTTTAAGCCATTCTGTTGTTAATTTACTTCTATGCTTTTGGTCATTGTCCTGTTGCAACACCCATCTTCTGTTGAGCTTCAGCTGGTAGACAGATGGCCTTAAGTTCTCCTGCTTGATAAACTTGGGAATTCATTTTTCCTTCGATAATAGCAATCCGTCCAGGCCCTGATGCAGCAAAGCAGCCCCAAACCATGATGCCCCCACCACCATACTTCATGGGTGGGATGAGGTTTTGATGTTGGTGTGCTGTGCCTTTTTTTCGCCATACATAGTGTTGTGTGTTTCTTCCAAACAACTCAACTTTGGTTTCATCTGTCCACAGAATATTTTGCCAGTACTGCTGTGGAACATCCAGGTGCTCTTGTGCAAACTGTAAGCGTGCAGCAATGTTTTGTTTGGACAGCAGTGGCTTCCTCTGTGGTATCCTCCCATGAAATCCATTCTTGTTTAGTGTTTTACGTATTGTAGATTCGCTAACAGGGATGTTAGCATTTGCCAGTGACTTTTGTAAGTCTTTAGCTGACACTCTAGGATTCTTCTCCACCTCATTGAGCAGTCTGCGCTGTGCTCTTGCAGTCATCTTTACAGGATGGCCACTCCTAGGGAGAGTAGCAGCAGTGCTGAACTTTCTCCATTTATAGACAATTTGTCTTACCGTGGACTGATGAACAGCAAGGCTTTGGGAGATACTTTTATAACCCTTTCCAGCTTTATGCAAGTCAACAATTCTTAATCGTAGGTCTTCTGAGAGCTCTTTTGTGCGAGGCATCATTCACATCAGGCAATGCTTCTTGTGAAAAGCAAACCCAGAACTGGTGAGTGTTTTTTATAGGGCAGGGCAGCTGTAACCAACACCTCCAATCTCATCTCATTGATTGGACTCCAGTTGGCTGACATCTCACTCCAATTAGCTCTTGGAGGTTCACATACTTTTTATAGGGGTTCACATACTTTTTCCACCTGCACTGTGAATGTTTACATGGTGTGTTCAATAAAAACATGGCAACATTTCATTCTTTGTGTGTTATTAGTTTAAGCAGACTGTGATTGTCTATTGTTGTGACTTAGATGATGATCAGATCACATTTTATGACCAATTTGTACAGAAATCCATATCATTCCAAAGGGTTCACATACTTTTTCTTGCAACTGTACCCCATTTTGAATACCCTGGGTTGTCTACTTTAAAAAAATATGTACATGTGAGGTGTGATTCGGGGATTTATGACAGATAAGGGTGTTACAATGTCACTATTGATAAATTTAAAATATATATATATTGAAACAGCAATTTCCTACTTGTATTTATAGGCCCATAACTTGCAAAAAAAAAAAGCAATAAAGCATGTAAATACTGGGTGTTTTTAAACTCGGAACAACATTTTTAATCTATTTAGCAGTTTTTTTCATTAGCTTTTGTAGATAAGTAAAAGATTTTTCAAGTAAAAGTCCAAAAACATGTTTTTTTTTTTAATTTTTCACCATATTTTATTATTTTTTTTAACTAAAATATATGACATGATACAAATAATGGTATGTAAAGAAAGCCCTTCTTGTCCTGAAAAAAACAATATATAACTTGTATGGGAACCGTAAATGAGAGAGCGGAAAATTACAGCTAAACACAAACACCACAAAAGTGTCAAAACTGCTCTGGTCCTTAACGTACAACATCGCAAAAATAGACCGGTCCTTAAGGGGTTAAGCTAACCCATGTCTACGCTACCTGTTTTGCCTAACACTTGTTTGAATGACGACTTCTCTGATAAGCCTGTTTAATTTCTTATGCATAAACAAACAAAAAAAAAAAAGCGCAACAAATCACCTTTAAAACTATGTCACTGTAATTTTCCCCTTACTCAACGTCATAATCTCACAATGTATCATACAATGCGCTTTAAAAATAAAGAATTATAAAAAAAAAAAAAACACTTCCTGAGGACTCCAAGCACTGCAGCAGACACCAAAACCACCGAACCGTAGGAGCATATGAATGCTCTCAAGCATATGAATGCTGTAGACAGTTGAATAGGAACCATACGAATAGGTTTACTCTCCTAGCAGTCAAACTGGAACAGCATACAATAAATCCTTCCCCCAATAATGAGACGACACTTCACTTTGAGGGTTAAAACAGGAACTCCAGTGCTGGCACACCCAGCCTAGTTTTTATTACAATCCACAAAACATAGTACTGCCCACAGGGTTTTGCAGAACCACCAATAAACACATTACAACACATACAATGCAAGTACAGCAGCCAATCAGACACAATGGGACAATAGAAACACATCCAGCATATTCCTCCCCTTTGCTTAGGAGATAATTGAGTCAATTACTGTATCTACTCAATTATCTCCAAGCTGAAAGGTTACTTTTTGTACATTTTTATAACTTTGTGAGTTATCGTACATACATAAAACTTACATTTTCATAATCAATCCATTCAGGGGAACAACATATTAAAAAATGGCACGAATCAGACCAGGGGTTCAAAAGTTAAGGGAAAGTCCTTTGTGACTAAATGAAGCATGGCTTTCCGGCCCAAACCAGTTTCAGAGTCTTCTATCCTGGAGATAGTAATTCAATTATCTCCCAGGACAGACACAAGACTCCATTAAGCACATGGTTGCAAAAAGACACAAAACACTTTAAAATACATAAAGTCACATTTTATACATAAAACACAGACATTTCACATATCCCCAGATAGCTGGGATCTGAGCGCACAAAACTACCGAATAGCGCTCAGATCCTATTCACACAGTTCAATTGCCATGGAGCCGAAGTCTTTAACTACACGAATGGGCTCCATGGCATAGCTATCTGGGTTAATAACTTCACATAGTCTATTCCATAGTCTGGTCCATAGTCCAAAGGCAAGAGGCGGGCAAGCAGCCCCCTCCAAGGACACGTGGCGAGGCCGGTTTCGCCACACACTATAAAACCTGTACATGGGGGGTACTATTATACTCGGGAGACTTTGCTGAACACAAATATTAGTGTTTTAAAACAGTGAAATGTATCACAGCAATAATATCATCAGTGAACGTGGTGTTTGTGTGTGAAATATGCAAAAAAAGTCACTTTCACTGACAATATCATCGCTGTGATAGGTTTTACTGTTTTGAATCGCTAATATTTGTGTTCAGTGAATTCTACCAAGTAACACATTACCCCTACATGTACAAGTTTTATAGTGTCTTGGAAAGTTACAGGTTTAAATATAGTGCTAGCAAATTAAACTTTTTTAAATCTTTTTTTTCACCAGTAGGGCGACTGCCTGTCAGTTCTTGCAGTCCACCTGAAGGCAACACTATGGATGCCTATTTCAGCCATGTGACCACTCTTTCAGAGCGATCACATGGCCTATGGGTCGTATTTAGCCAAGGGGGGACTGTCTGGGATGTCAGACAGTCCCCCCCAGTAGAGAAAAACACTGATCCCTGCCGGAAGAATGGCAGCGATCGGGTAAGTAATTAGGATTACCTTGGATGTACTAGGTATGTCTGAGGTCCTGAGGGTGTTTAGTTATAAATTTTATTTTTAAAATTTTTTATTTAATCTATTTAACTGAGTGTCTCGAGGCATTCAGCACACAGCCAAAGCCTGCCTGATGCTTCTCCAGATTGATCCATCAAAGTCGGGAAGGATTCCCAAGTGTCAAGGACAGGACTCTTTGCTTGCAACACAGAAGAAGTCCAGCCCCCAGTGCTGCAGATATAGCCAAATATAACAAGGATAGAATTACTCAAAATAACAGAATCTGCTGTGGCTTAGATGCAGTATAGCAGGCCCAGGACTTGAAGGACCCAGGTTGAAATCCCTTGTCTGGAACCTGTGGGGTTACCACACCTGTCCATCTGGATTTCATGGTGAGAACTGTGACAGTCTGTAAGGTGCCCTGTAACTGAGAGATAATTCAGTTATCCGTTCCTTGACTCAATTATTTCCCATACACAGGGATGCCTGGGAGTGGTTTGTAATACTTTGTATTGAGACCCCATGCTGCGGCTGTGTGTATAGATTAAGACTGTTTTGCCTAAATAAATCAGATGACTCCTGTCTAGTTACTGGGGGAATACGAGCTACAATCACACAAGGTTCCAGTCTGTCTGAGTAAAATAAACAGAGGTTACCTGGAGTCCTCTACATGCGCCTTTCTACCATCCCTGCAAACAGGGAGTACCAGAGGGAACCGCGAGGACTATAGCGGGACCTGGCCATATTCCCCTTGAACTCCAGCTCGGCCGCATTTACCAACATTGCTCACAGTTACCAACATCGGTCAACTTCAGCCCCTGTGTCCACTTACTTCCCAGCCAGCTAGGAGAGTGCTAATTGGAGGGGAGGTACAAGTGACTAAGCCAAACAAGAGCTCCTGATATTTTACCAGCAAATGGTGCATTCCCTCTAGAGCCCATTTCAGCAAGGACTTTGTTATCGGCTTGTCAAATCTTTATCCCAGTGGTGGTTTACCAATTCTCTATGGATCTGGGTGCTATTTTGGCAGAATGGTTGCTCGGATCAGAATGTCTATTCGAAATGTCCTTTTACGTGTCCCTTCCATGAAGCTAGCCCCTAAATATATTGGTCGCTACAGGGTTCTTCGGAGGATCAATCCGGTATCCTATGCTTTGGACCTGCCAAAAAACCTACGCATACCCAACGTCTTCCACACCTCCCTCCTGAAGCCTCTGGTTTGTAATAGTCACTCCAGATCCCATTCTCATCCTCTTCCCGTTTTGGTGCATGGTCAGGAGGAGTTCAACACATTCTTCATTCTCGTCTCTCATGTGGGTCGCTTCAGTATTTGGTCCATTGGAGAAGCTATGGTCCTGAAGAATGCTCATGGGTCCCTGCTTCTGAGGTCCATGCGCCAAGGCTTATTCGTGCGTTCCATGCCAGCTTTCCTTCTCGCTCTTCTGGTGTTGCTCCTGTGGGCGTTCCTGAAGCGGGGGGTTCTGTCATACCTCCTCGTGGCCCACGCTGCTCCGGTCCTTCCATCCGCTCTGCTGGCTTCCGACTGACAAAGCACGCACTTGCGCGACCAGGGACACGCGCATGCACGCACGGCTTGCCGCTGAGCTCTTAAAGCGATACTACCATAATTTCATGAACCCTGGTAACCCTTTTATAATATCTCCTACTCTCTTCCCTAGCCTATCAGATCTCTCTTAGCCCTATTTATACCTCCCTCCTACATTACTTCCTTGCCCTGTCGTGGTCTATTGTAGCCCGAGAGTGCGTTCTGTATACTTGTGTGTTTCCTGGTATCTGACTTGGGCTTGTCTCTGGTTATCCGTATTTTCTGGCTTCCTTGACCCTTGGCTTAGTTTCTAGTTTGTTCTTCCTTCTCCTGCCCTGACCTCGGCTCGTCTGATTATTCTTTTACTCACCTTACTTTTTTTCACGTTAAGTCCGGCCACTTTAAGGACCGGTAATACGTCTAGCTTGGGTTGCCTGTTAGTCCTATAGTTAGCGTGTTGGGGAACCTAACCTTGACAGAGAGAACCTCATTTCCTCTCAGACACAGATACGCCAGGGCGGGACCATCTATGCATTGAATGGAGTCCACATACTGGAAGTTCATGTATAAATGACCGCATTGTTGTCAACAAAACCATTTGTACTTCCAGAATCATATGTCGTCTGATTACTGAGACAAAAGGCAATATTCACTAACCTGTGCTTCTTCCAGCTAAGAGGGGATTCCAGCAAAGGTATCCAGCCAGGATTTAGGAGCAATACAGTACAGTATGCAATCGACAACACACAGTTTTTAGAGTAATAATTCTGTTGGGGGAAAT